TGAGCGCGGATAGTACTTAGATGGTGACCGCTTGGGAACACCGCGTACTGTTGGCGTTATTTTTTTTTCTTTTTTTAATAATTTTTTAAACATTCTTTAATATTGTTATAAATTTATTTAGCGTATGCAGCCAGTTAAAATTTCACAGCTGCTTATTGTTCAAATAATTATTTAGATAGTTAAAAAATAATAGTAAGAAGCGTCAACTCGTCATCACTTTTACTTTTTTCTTTTTTAAAAAATCTTGTTCATATTTTACAACCATTTCATTATTATCTACCTTACATGAGTAATAAAAATATTATAACTATGTGATGTGTGTCCAACAGATTTTCTGTGAATCAAAAAAACGTGCAAGTGTCAACGGTCATACCACGTTGAAAGCACCAGAGTACACTAGGCACACGTAACCCTACCAGTGTCAGCAGGACAAAAACATAATAAATAAAACGTTTAGACACCAACAGATCCACCGTGGAGGAAAATAAGGATACAATCCTGACTCGCAATGAGAACGCTATAAGTCATGCTGCGAGTTCAGCAAAAATAATACAAGACGATAACGAGAACATAACCTCGAAACCAAACAGAAGTGAGCCTGAATTAAATAAAAAAGAGACACAATTATTGTGGTCAGAGTGGGAGATAAGGAAAGCTCTGGGCAACCAGGACGATAAACCGCTAAAAAGACTAATAAATAAAACGGTGAAAAGAAACCTAAGCGTACCTAGACCCAAAATGACCAAAGACAATATCAAAAATAAGAAGAAGAAGTCAGAAAGGACGGAACAAAACAAGGAAAACATAAACCCAACGCAGGATATATCCTCAATCAAAGTATTAAGAGAAGAAAACCAAGAGCAGAAGAAAAAAATAACTGAACTTGAAGAACTTATCAAACAATTAAGAACAGCAATCAACGATATGGATAGTTTTAGGAAACAAACACAGATTAGCAATATAACACTTTCTCAAGACCACAATAGATTTAACACACTACAGGAAGTAGGAGACAATGAGGAAATGGAAACGGAGGACTCAAGAGTCAGTGAAATAGAAAAGAGCTACAGGACCAACGAAGAAAAGCCTAAGGACTGGATCGAGATAGCAGAACAAGAACAATACAAGGAAAGTGAGAATAATGCAACCGTGAGTCAAGACTACAGAAAACAAAAACAGAGTGTAAACAACAAAAAGCTTCAACCACCCCCAATTAATATCTTTGATCAAGATCCCAAGATGCTAACAAAACTCCT